CGAGCCGGGGCCTCTGGGAGGAAGCGAGAGACGCCGGCAGCCGCGGGTGAAGGCCCAGCCGGCTCCGTCGCCCCTCGCCCCCGACCGGGCCGCTGTTCGGGGCGCGCGTGCTGCGGGGAGTTCGTCCCCGGACCCGGAGGACCGAGCGGGTGCGCTGAGCGGTGGGCATGCCGGCCGCCAACCCCCTTGGGCTCCGAAGCCAACGGGAACGGGGAGAGCTGTTTGGGACCCAGTTTGTGTGTGTGTGTGTGTCGGGGGGGGGGGCGGGGAGGTCTGGCCCCGTGGGAGCACAGCCCCTGCACCCTTGCTGCGGCGCCCCCTCCTTTCCCCTCCGGCCCGCAGAGCTGGGGTGGTCTTTGGAAATTGCCCTCACCACCGCCCCACCGGCTCCGCGGGTCCCATCTTGAGGCAGTGGCCCTGGAGCCGATTTGATCCCACTGAACTGGCTTTCCCGAGCTTCCTCAGCTTCCCAGGGCCCTCTCTTCTCCCTTCTCCAGACCCTGGGACCTCTGCTCCGAGCCCCAGCCCCTCCACTGGTTGACCCTGCTGGCGGGTGGGCTCAGGGCAGCGGGTCTTCCAGAGCCTGTCCTGCCCTTAAGGAGCCACGTGCCAAATAGCAGCACGCTCCAGGTAAGGGGCATCAGGAGAGACTTCCCGGAAGAGGGGGCCTTTGAGCAGGGTCTTAAAAGATTGTGTAGCATTCTGATAGGGGAGTAAGGCCATTCCAGGTCCAAGAAAGTGTATGAACAGAGTCAGGGAAGTGTGGGCACGAATTTGGGGGGCCTGGCAAATGAGGTACAGGTTGGGGGCAAACTCCAAAAAACAGCTTGTGTGGGCGGTCAGGGGTTTTGGACCCTACAGGTAACCTAGGATTTTAGGGAGGTGATTGGTGGCTGGGATGAGGGATTGGAATGGGGTGGGGTGAGACTGAACGCGTTGGCTGGGAAGGAGAAGGAGGGTCCCCAGAAGTCCACAGAGGGTCTGAGGTAGCACAGGAGGGGCATAGGGACCATGCAATAGGACCAGGCTGGCAAAGCACTGGGAGAAGGAATCAGTAGGACTGTTTCAACTGTGTGATGGAGGGGAGAAGGTCTGAAGACCAGGTCAGGTTCCTAGTCTAAATGTGTGATTGGGAAGATAGGCAGTAAAGTAACTAAAAGGGGAGGGGGTAAGGAGTATATGGGTGAAGCTGAAAGCACAGGCAGGATAGCCATATGGAGATGTCAAGTAGGAAGTTCATTCTTCCGTTTATTTATTATTTATGCCAGCCTCAAAGGCAGCTGACATAAAAGTCGCAGAGAAGATAAGATGATAAAATCATTAAAACTCAGCTAACAGGACCTGATAGCTGGGGGAAAAAAACACAGAGGAGAGTGGATAATTGTTCCTTGAAAATGTAGGTTCAGAAAAGCCACTGAAAATGAACACAGGACTCATCTGAGCTTGCTGGCAGCCAAGCAAAAAAAGGACATCTAAATAAAGCAGCAGTGCACTAGGGCTGGGACTCAGGAGAAAGGCAGCCATGAAGGCTCAGGGGGAGAGGGGGAGGGGGTAGGAGATAAAATGGCATCTGTCAAGTGGGGGATATAGGAGAAAGAGTCAATCCGAAGGCCAGCCAGGCCAGGGCGTTGGCACTGCTGACATTTAAGGAAGGGCTGTTGCTCCCCGAGGAGGAAGGCCTTTCTGTAGCCTGCACAGGGAGGTAGGGGTGGGAAGGGGTGTGTGTGTGTGTGTGTGTGTGTGTGTGTGGTCCCTTCACACAAGTCTTCTTGCAGGGGAACAGGATAGAAGGTGGTGTGCTAAGTGCCCTGGGCTCTCACCTTCTTCCCTACCATGAGGTGGGGCCGCCATTTGCCCAGGGCCTCTTGGGGCTCTGGTCTGGGAGGAGCGCTCCAGTCAGCAGGTGAGCTGGAAGCAGGGGTTTCTGTCTCTACCTCTCCTCTTCAGAGTCCAGATGGTGTCTCCAAGAGAGCAGGGATCCAGACACCAGGTGTTCTAGCCCTGGCTCTGTGATTCATGTGCTGTTGGCCTTGGCAAGTCACCTCACCTCGCTGAGGTTCCCTTTTTCCCATCTTAAACTAAGGAAGTCAAGCTAGATGATCTTCGAGGGTCCCTGTAGCTACACGAAGTCTAGGATCACTTGTCTGATCTCATTTTGCATTCGACAAATATTTATTGTGTGCTATGTGCCAGACCTTGTGCTAAGTTCTAAGTATGTAATTATAAACAAAAACAGATGTGGTCCCTGCTCTCATGGAGGGGGGTGGGGCAGAAATGAATGTTAATCAAATAATCATACAATGAGATATAAAACCACATAGTAGCTGCCACAAAGGAGCAGTACGTGATGCGATGAGAACAAATGCCGGGGGATTTGATATAGACGCGAAGTCTGTGTGTTGGTGGGGTCTGGATGTTATTTCTTTCTTCACCTTTCTCTCTGTAGATGAACGAATCCCCTTCCTGATCCACTGGAGTTGGCCCCTTAAAGGGAAGCTTCCCATTGGGCTCCCTAGGTGAGGCCTCGGGGTCATGCCTTAGAACACATCTGGGCACAGCAGAGTAACCTGGGAAGGGTCAGGACTTGGAGAGGGCTTGACCCCCTCCCCCCCCCAGGGTGACGTTGGTTTTCTGGGAATGATGAGGGCAGAGTCAGCTACCAGGCCTCAGACAAAGTTGGTTTACTTTATCTACAGGACAAGTGACAAGGGCAGCCAGAGGGGGAGGATCTGTGGGGGAAGTGGGTGGAGGCTGGCAGTGGCCAGCCTGAGTTCCAGGGGGCGAGATCTCAGTCCCTGGGAAGGGTGTGAGAGTCAGACAAGGCTCTCGACTTGGGTGTCCAGGGTCAGGCCTAGATCTCAGGGAGCTAGAAGTCCAGCAATTCAGACAGGCCTGGGCTCTGAGCCTGTCCAAAGGCTGAGCCCAGGAGCAAAGCCCCAGCTCATCCTTGCTCTCAGGGCCTTTGTACGTCACCGTGGAAGCTCAGCGGGCAGTGGTCCTCCATCAAGAAGCCATGGAAAGTTGTTCCAGAGCATCTCTGCATCGGGTAAAGGGACCGACTGCTCAGTCGGCCTGAGGGGAGGGGCTGGCTGGGATCCCAGTGGTGGGGGAGTGGGAGGTGGGGAGTTGGGTCTGGAGGGAGAAGCAGGCAGGAAGAAGGAGGCGTAGAGGATCCACTGCCATCATCCATCAGTGGGCAAACCCTACCCCCGTCGCCCATTGTCCACCTGTCCACGTCTCCCTTCCTGCAACACGTGTGCAGTGCACACTCACCGCTCTTACCATATGCAAAGCACTGGGAGGGATACATCATCCCTTCCCTCAGCAAACTGGGTCTAACAGTCAAGTGGAGATGGCGCACAGACAACCACAAAACCATTCAACCCAGTTTTGGCAGCACTTGTCTCATGGCTTGCCCCTTTCCGCCATGGGGGTTCCAAACTTTCTGGACAGTCTGTTGTCTGAGAGAGTCCTGTATACATAGCACCGTCCTGGGTCTCTGTGTCCTGATGCTGCACCTTGCTCTGTGGCCTGACCCTACCACCGCCCTGGCCAGCCCTAAGCTCCTGCATCTTGCAGCCTCTTTCCTTGACCCATTCCCCTTGCCTTCCCATCCAGAAGCTGTCCAGGGCCACCGCCGGCATCTGGCCGAGTGGTTCAGCCGGTTGCCCAGAGAAGAGCGCCAGTTCGGCCCGACCTTTGCACTGGACACGGTCCACGTAGACCCTGTGATCCGCGAGAGCACCCCGGATGAGCTGCTTCACCCATCGGCGCAGCTGGCCCTGGAGCACCAGCCCCCCCTGGCCGGGCTCCCCCCACTGGCCCTGTCTCAGCTCTTCGACCCCGATGCCTGTGGGCGCCGGGTGCAGACAGTGGTGCTGTACGGGACGGTGGGCACGGGGAAGAGCACGCTGGTGCGCAAGATGGTCCTGGACTGGTGTTACGGGCGGTTGCCGGCCTTCGAGCTGCTCATCCCCTTCTCCTGCGAGGACCTGTCCTCCCTGGGCTCTGCCCCAGCCTCCTTGTGCCAGCTCGTGGCTCAGCGCTACGCGTCCCTGAAGGAGATCCTGCCTCTGATGGCTGCTGCTGGGTCCCGCCTGCTCTTTGTGCTCCACGGCTTGGAGCGGCTCAACCTCGACTTCCGGTTAGCGGGAACAGGGCTTTGCAGTGACCCCGAGGAGCCAGGGGCACCAGCTGCCATCATTGTCAACCTGCTGCGCAAGTACATGCTGCCCGAGGTGAGCGGCCTCCCGCCCCGCCCCGCCGCTGCTGCCCCTAACTCGTCCCCTAAGGACGCTGGTGTCCCCAGCCCACGTGTTTATTGGGGTGGGAGCACAGGCTCTCCGCTATTCAGACCTGCCCCTCCACGTCCCGGCTGTGTGTCTTTGAGCAAGTCCCTCACTTCCCCAAGCTCTGTTTCCTTCTCTGCTGGAGCTATCCCGATCAAATGAGATCCTGCCCAGGAAGCACCTGGAGCAGGGCCCTGGGTTGCAGCGGGGGCTCGGGCATAGTTAGAATTATGGTGCTCATCCTCATCCTCGGACGCTCGGTCTTCAGGGGCTCTCTGGGGAGTGAGGCAATCAGGACGCGAAGGTCCTCCTTAACCCTCAACCATGCGCTCCCCAGGCCAGCATTCTGGTGACTACCCGGCCCTCCGCCATCGGCCGAATCCCCAGCAAGTACGTGGGCCGCTATGGTGAGATCTGTGGCTTTTCTGATACCAACCTGCAGAAGCTCTATTTCCAGCTCCGCCTCAACCAGCCGGACTGCGGGAACGGAGCCGGGGGTGCGGGTGTCTCGGCCACGCCAGCTCAGCGTGACAGCCTGGTGCAGATGCTCTCCCGCAACCTGGAGGGGCACCACCAGATCGCTGCCGCCTGCTTCCTGCCCTCCTACTGCTGGCTTGTGTGTGCCACCTTGCACTTCCTGCATGCCCCCACGCCGCCCGGGCAGACCCTCACGAGCATTTACACCAGCTTCCTGCGGCTCAACTTCAGTGGGGAGATGCTGGACAGCACTGACCCCTCCAAGTTGTCCCTCATGGCCTATGCAGCCCGAACCGTGGGCAAGTTGGCCTACGAGGGGGTGTCCTCCCGCAAGACCTACTTCTCCGAAGAGGACGTCCGCGGCTGCCTGGAAGCTGACCTCAAGACGGAAGAAGAGTTCCAGCTGCTGCATGTTTTCTGCCGGGATGCCCTGCGGTTTTTCCTGGCCCCGTGCGTGGAACCAGGGCACCGGGACACCTTTGTGTTCACTGTGCCTGCCATGCAGGAGTACCTGGCCGCCCTCTACATCGTGCTGGGTTTGCGTAAGACGACCCTGCAGCGGGTGGGCAAGGAGGTGGCCGAGCTCGTGGGCCGAGTCGGGGAGGACGTCAGCGTGGTCCTGGGCATCGTGGCCAAGCTTCTGCCCCTGCGAGCCCTGCCTCTGCTCTTCAACCTGCTCAAGGTAACAGCCCCAGCACCCCAGGCTCTCAGCGCCACGCCCCCCCCCCGCCCCCGCCTTCACCTCTCCCAGGAGGCAACTGCTACTTCCTACATAGCCATGAATCCTCTTCTTGACTCTGGTTTCAGGTTTGGGCAATCTGGCTTTCCGTGGGATTGAGACACAAGGGAAGGGGAGAGAGAAACCACAGGCTGTGCAAGGCTTGAAGACTGGGAGGAGGATGGAAGGGCACAGGGCCTTTAATCATGTCCTGTGACCCTAATGACGATTGTAGTTTTGCATCTCCTCGTCTTTGTTGGCGGGAGGCGGGAGTCGCTACAGTCTAGGGTCTGTCCTCTGCTTTGCGGGCCCGGAAACTCCACTGTATCTGTTCCCCCAGAGGTGGTTAGACTCTGGGAGTGATGACTCATCCTAACGACATCACCAGAGACAAGTTTATAAAGCAGATGCCGTTTTATTCATTTATACCAGGAGGATAAATGGCATTGGTAATTGACTTAGGACAGTGCAGGCCTGCTCCAGAATTCCAGTTACAGGCCTGAGGACTGTGTTATGAGCAGGGCGGATATGCTAGGTTTTTGAGGGGAGGAAGGATCCACCCTCTGGTGATGTCTACCAGGTGCCTCGTAAATGAAATATTATTATGATTCCTTTTTAGATAAAGAAGCTGAGGCTCACAGGGGCCAAGTAATTCACCCAAGGTCACTCATATAGTGGAGTAGCTGGGATCTGAGTCCAGGTTTTGTGATTCCGAACCCTGTGCTCTCTTGTCAAACTTTACTGATGTATTATGAATATTTCTCTTAAGCTTCGGTGCCTTGCTAGGTAACCCTGGTCCTCTCTAGGAATGTTCTGGTAACTCGTCTTGAGGAGGCAAGGCCCTGGTCAGTGCTGGCAAAATTTTAACAGGTTTTCCTTTGTGTAGGCAGCAAAGCATAGGGGTTAGGAACAGGGATTCAGTAATCCAGCTCCGTGGGTTCAAATCCAGGCACTGCCACTTACTAGCTGTGTGATCTTGGACGAATTACTTAACCTGTCTGTGCCTCCAAGTCCTTCTCTGTTAAATGAGGATAATACGATCTCTATCATGGGCCTAACATGAGGATTAAATGTATTCATTCTCAGGACCTGGCACGTAGTAAGTTCTATTTAAATGTTTGTTAAACATGAAAAACAGGCTCAGGCAGCCTGCCCCTTCTCCCATCATTGCCTCAGACAGGGGGGTAATGGCCATTGCTGAGGCCAGCCCACCTCTTTGAGGATGGGCTTGCCTGCTCTGGATTACAGTGAGAGGCTGTGGTCTCCTGACAGGGTTCACCCTATGGTTAGCACCACAACTCTGAGCCCCCTGGGAGGGAGGCTTGCCTAGCAGAGGACTAGTCCCATCTGTTTCTTCAGCCTGTTGACTCAGCTTCCCTAGGTGACATTTCTTCCTCTTGGTCACCAGGTGACTGTTGAGGGAGAAGCACTTGAAACTCCATGGCAGGAACCTCACCTATAAAAAAGTGAAAAAAACAAAACCAGTCATTAGGGAAGCTGCCACAAAATAGCCTCGTAACTCCTTGCCAGAGGTCTGGGCTCCTTCTTGCCTTTCGGCCCCAACACGAGGCTGGGTGCCGATGTCCCAAATCCGCCCAAACATTAATTTCTCCAACAAATATTTGAACACCTGCTGTGTGCCAGGCACTGTGTTAGATTCTGAGGAAGGAAAAATGAACAGAACCCCGGTTTCTGCCCTCTCTGGTCCTCCAGTAAGAACACAAACAGGTCACCATAACCATGTAATTTAAAGTTGTGGTAAGTGCCTAGAAAGTGAAGTTCCAGGTGCTGTGAAAGTATATAAGTGGGGGAGCTGGTTTGGGGGGCGGGGTGGATAGGGAAAACCTCTCTGCAGGAAGGACATTTAATCTGATCCCTGAAGGATCAGCCAGGAGAAGAACTGGGGAGGGGGCAGCACCCCAGGAAGAGAGTACAGCTTTGAAGGAAGAGAACTGTAGTACTGTCAAAAAAAAAAAAATCCTAATTATGAGAAAAGCCAAAAGCACAGAAGCAGAGTGTGTGAGTGTGAGAGGTCTGTAGATGGAGGCCGCGTGGCTGGCAGGAACCAGATCCTGCAGGGCCTCCAAGGAACAGGAGCGATGTCAGTCATCGTTGCTGGGATGACCCTGGTGTTGTGGAGGATGGGGATGTCTTCGCAGCCCCTAGCCGGGTACCAAACAAAATGCACAGCAGATGCTTATTTCTTCCCACCCCTGAGCTTGCAAATGTAAGGGGTGTTTGGGAAAAAGAATTTCCTAAGGGCCCATGTGTATGGCACAAGTGTCGAGAGGTGAGTCTGGAAAGGTCAAATTGGGGCCAAATCATGACACATTTTCTATTCCACATGGGCATTGGGGAGCCATGGCAGGTGCTGCAGCGGGGGGGAGTCGTATGATCAAAGGGTGCTGCGGGTTTGGGATGGATGGGGAGGCCGGAGCGGGCAGGGAGAGTGCGCCTTCGGCTGAGCTTCAGAGGCTGAGCGGGCACGTGCGAGGCTGCAGCTCCTTCCCTGCGCGCTCTCCCAGGTGGTGCCGCGAGTGTTTGGGCGCATGGTGGGTAAGAGCCGCGAGGCGGTGGCCCAGGCCATGGTGCTGGAGATGTTCCGAGAGGAGGATTACTACAACGACGACGTCCTGGACCAGATGGGTGCCAGTATCCTGGGCGTGGAGGGCCCGCGGCGGCACCCGGACGAGCCTCCCGAGGATGAGGTCTTTGAGCTCTTCCCCATGTTCATGGGGGGGCTCCTGTCTGCACAGAACCGGGCCATGCTGGCTCAGCTAGGCCGCCCCATCAAGACCCTGGATGCCCTGGAGAATGCCCAGGCCATCAAGAAGAAGCTGGGCAAGCTGGGCCGGCAGGCGCTGCCCCCGTCCGAGCTCCTTGACCACCTCTTCTTCCACTACGAGTTCCAGAATCAGCGCTTCTCCGCCGAGGTGCTCAGCTCCCTGCGCCAGCTCAACCTGGCGGGTGTGCGCATGACGCCCCTCAAGTGCACGGTGGTGGCGGCCGTCCTGGGCAGCGGAAGGCATGCCCTGGACGAGGTGAACTTGGCCTCATGTCAGCTGGACCCTGCTGGGCTGCACACACTCATGCCTGTCTTCCTGCGTGCCCGGAAGCTGGGGTGAGGACCCGTCTTCAGGCAACGGGCCTGAAGACTGGAAAGGGTTGGGGGTGAAGGGGCGGGAAGAGAAGGTCCTAGGGAGACCAAAGGTGGGGAGGAAGGAGCAGGGGGTGGGATGAAGAAGTCTGGTGTGTGTGGAGGTGATGAGCAATGGGAGGGAGGGCACGGTGGGTGGATAGGCTCCATGCTGAGCTCCTGCCTTGCTTTTCCCCTTCCCTCCGGCCACCTGCTGTTCCAGCTTGCAACTCAACAGCCTGGGCCCCGAAGCCTGCAGTGTCCTCCGGGACCTGCTGCTGCATGACCAGTGCCAGATGACTACCCTGCGGTGAGTGTTTCTGTCGGGGGGCCTGGAGGGAGGTTCTGGCCATCCTGGTGGCAGGCTGAAGTCAAGGGTGCGCTCACACCTGGCGCTGGCCCACCTGTACTCTGGTAGAGGGGGTGGAGCCTAGACCCCGGCCTGCCCCCTCTCCCCAGGTCCAGTACAAGCAGCAGGGTAAAGGAACGATGCTGCCAGGAATAGGTGCTCAGAAAGCCTCTCAAGCGGCTAAAACCAGCGTGTGGGGCGGGGAAGGGGGGGTGGTAGGGGGGGATGATCCCCAGGCCGATTGCCTGGTAACAGTGCCACGGATGCCCTCCCAGGATGTTCCCTGTGGCCTCGCAAGGATGACCCTAATGCTGGGCGCTCAGTAGATGCTTCCAAAGTGCTGACCGATTTACTAGGAACCCAGAAGCCTGGTTGGAGGAAGGGGAGGTGAATGAGGAGGGGGAGGGCCCCGGGGCAGGGGCATCTGGGGGGGCAGGTAAGAAAAGGAGGAAGAGGAGAAATAGTAACGATGAAGAGAGGGGAGTCAAGGGAGGAGGAGAAGCCGGCTCCCACCCCCGCTCTCCCTCCGCTGCCGTGCACACCGCACCCCTGCTTCTTCCTTCTCTTCTCCTGGCCCACATTTCTTTAGGGGCTCACCTTCACCCCAGGCTGTGTGTCCTTTGGGTCCGGGTCCTGACATCTACTGCAGGGGCACCTGCCATTGTCCCTCATAACCTCGGGGTGTTTGTGGCTATAGGCTGTCCAACAACCCGCTGACAGCGGCTGGCGTGGCCCTGCTGGTGGAGGGGCTGGTGGGGAACAGCTCGCTGACGCATCTGTCCCTGCTGCACACGGGCCTCGGGGACGAGGGCCTGCAGCTGCTGGCTGCCCAGCTGGACCGTAATCAACAGCTACAGGAGCTGAACGTGGCCTACAACGCTGCTGGCGACACGGCGGCCCTGGCCCTGGCCCAGGCTGCCCGGGACCACCCTTCCCTGGAGCTGCTGCAGTAAGTCTGGCCCCTGGGCCCACCGCCGCACCCTGGCCAGAAGCTGTTCCCAGCCCTCCGGCTCTCCCTCCCTGTCTCCACCGCCTTTTTCCTGCCCTACGGCCTGTCCTCTGTCCCTGCCTTCTCGAGGATCTTCGTGGGCCGGCTTCCGAATCAACCCACCCCTCTGTGATTGGCCCTTACCCGGCCCGGGTCCCCGACTGCCGTTTCTCTTAGGGTCCTGGTGGCCCCGTTCTCACTGTCCCTGGTCCTGCTGAATTCAGGTGTCATCCCTGCCTCCTGTTGGCCACCACCCTCCGTCTCTGGCTCACTGCAGACACTTGCCCCATCACTTCCGTAGCCAGGGCATGAGTTATGAGAATTCCGCTCTCCGTCCAGCACCCTCTGCCCTCTATCTCAGAGCTCTGCTGAGTGGCCTCTTCTCTTCTCTCTCCTCCTAGCCTCTACTTCAATGAGCTGAGCTCAGGGGGCCGCCAGGCCCTGCGGGACTTGAGCGGCACTGCTAAAGGGGGCGCTCGGGTCGTGGTGTCGCTGACAGAGGGGACAGTGGTGTCCGAGTACTGGTCGGTGATCCTTAGTGAAGTCCAGCGGAACCTCAACAGCTGGGATCGGGGCCGCGTCCGGCGTCACCTTGACCTTCTGCTTCGTGATCTGGAAGACAGCCGAGGGGCCACCCTTAACCCCTGGCGGAAGGCCCAGCTGCTGCGAGTGGAGGGTGAGGTCAGGGCCCTCCTGGAGCAGCTGGGAGGCCTGGGAAGCTGAAGCAGGGGCGGCAGTCACCTAGCTGTGTGACCCTGCCCCATGATCCTTCCCTCTGTGGCCTCCTGGTTTGCACTACTGCTTCCAGAAAGGTCCCTCTGGGGCTGCAGGTGAAGGGATGGGTTCTCAGGTGTCCCATGTCCACCCATGGCTCCCAAGTCTGGAATTTCCAGGGTCATGAAACAGGCCTCCTCTCCGTTCTGCGAGGAAGACTGAGAAAGACTCCTTCAGGTGGCATTTTGGTGGCCACTTGCCCTGCCGCGCAGCCAACCTGGCCTCTCTCCTCTCGGGAGCTTCTGATTATGCCACCAGGGGGCGCACTTCTTAAGTCGCCTTTGCCAAAGGTGCACCATCCAGCTGTGTCCGCGGGCCTGCCCCTTCTGCCTTGCTGCTCTTCAGAGGACCCTGAGGATGCCCGCAGCCACTTTCCTCTCGCTTTGGTGCCTTCCCCTCCCCTCCCCGTCCCCTTCCTCACCACCGTACCTGTGCTCGGTGGCTCTGAGGGCCATGTGCACTGCCGTGCTTCCATTAAAAGCTACGTCTTCACCTACTGTGGCCTCCTCCTTGCCTGGTGCTTTCAAGAAAGGGTACTGTTTTTGGTCACTGTGGTAAACTATTGACCACTTTCTGTTGCAGGTGGTTCTCGGGCACTAGGTTCAGAGGCAGTGAGGGCCAAGGTGAGGGGGGGCATGAATAAGATCCTGGGGGTGGGCAGAGGCCATGCTGGGCCGTAGGACTCCTATCACCTTTTCCAACATACTTATCCCAGGCTCGGAATTACAGTCACGAGCAGGTGATCTGCCTTTGTCTGCCCAGAGCAGAAGCCCAGACAGCAGCGGAGTCTCCAGAGGAAGTCCGGGGCCCAGGAATGGGGGCAGGAGGAACACGCAGACTTCCCCAGAGGAGAAGACTGTCCTCCCGTTAACCATTACCCCGCAGCTTCTAAGGCAGTGTCTTTAAGGAGGCGGGACGTGGCGGGCTAGGTGGGAGGGTCAGCTGGTTTTGATGAACCTTGTCCCTACCCTGAGCACCGGGTCGCTGGTCCAACTATGGAGGCAGCTACAGGTAGGAGGCCAGGAGAAACCCTCCAGTGGGGGCTTTAGGGCAGTGAGAGGGCAGGGTGGGAGGCGGACGGAGGCTTTGGGGACCAGGGTGTACTTGTTGTTGAGGCTTGGAGCCCTGAGGCAAAGAGACCCAAGTTAGGAGAGAAGAGGCGAGTGGATAGGTCTGTCTTCCTGGTCCACGCCCTCTCCTGATATGCTCAGATTTCTGTGCCAGGGACTAGGAGGAGAAGGGAAGGTCCTTTTGGAGCAGAATGGAGGGGCAAACCCTGAGAGTGGGGGTTCTCCTAAGTCCTTTTAGTTAATGACATGGAAGAGGAGTTGGGGTAGGGAGAGAATGCACCCCTCCTCCCCTCCTCCCTTCTTTACATAGCAGGTCTTCAGGACACAGCCTCCTTAACGTTAACTCGGTAAGTGCCTAAGTGCTGCGCTGGGAAGGGTTGGGGCAAGAGGCGGAGGGAATCCAAGGTGGGGAGGCTCTTCAGCTGCCATTAGCATCTCAAGGAGAGGCTGGGACCAGAGTCCAGATGTCAGCTTGCTCCTACCTGCATCCCTCGCCTCCTTGCAGGAAGTTTGAGTTTAATCCAAAGTGGGGCATTGATAATCCTGTCCTCTCTCTGGCTGAAGACTACGACCCCTCTGGTAACCCCCTGGCCCTGGGCAACCGTTCCCTTTCCCCAGAGATACCACAGCTCCTCAGGGCCTCCCATCTCCTTGGTAACCACTCCACTCTGCCTCCCTCTGATAATAGCCTTGGTGGGGAGTAACTACGTGGAGGTAGGAGGGGGTTGGCTGTTTTCTTTTGTCCAAACCACTCTGCCCACATGGTATTTGGCCTCACTGCCCAACACCTAACTGGGTAGAAGCCTGCCGGGTGCCCTATCACCAGGGCAGGGTCGTCGGCCAGGCCAAGGTGACTTGTATGTGGGCCTTGTCCCCTCCCCTCCCCCTCTTCTGTTGCCCACCTCCCCCTCTAGATCTCTGGAGCCTGCAGCGGCCTCGTTTCTGTCTGCTGAGCAAAGAGGAAGGCAGGAGTTTTGGCTTCCACCTGCAGCAGGAGCTGGGCAGGGCTGGGCCTGTGGTGTGCAGGGTGGAGCCTGGCACCTCCGCCCAGCACCAGGGTCTTCGGGAAGGGGACCGGATCCTGGGGGTGAATGATCACGTCGTGGAATGTGAAGACTATGCTGTGGTGAGGTTGGGCTGGGGGCCTCCCTGTGGAATAGAAGGACGTTCCATAGCACCTCAGGGAGAGAGAAGCCAGTCGGTCACCTCCCTGGATATAAGGGGGCAGCACCCAAGCCTCAGCCTCCCCCACCTCCCAGGATCTAGGGCTGTCCAGGTGGGAATGGTTGGGTGAAGGCGTCCAGAAGGAGCCATTCACCCTGGCTCCCGGCGTGAAAAATGGAGGTTCCAGGGACTGGGAGTTGGCAGGAGGAGCTGGCCCCGACCTCATCCCCCACGCCCTCTGTTCAGGTGGTTCGCCGCATCCGGGCTAGCGGTCCTCGGGTGCTGCTGACGGTCTTGGCGAGGCACGTGCATGACGTGGCTCAAGCTCAGCAGGGCAACAGTGCCCACCTCTGTCCTCCTCTTGGCCCGCGGGTCCGGCCCCGACTATGCCACGTAGTGAAAGATGACAGTGGCTTTGGCTTCAGTGTCACCTACAGTGAGCTTAGAGGCCGGGGCGGGGCGGGGGGGCAGGAGGGGGATCTCCGCCCTGTTCTGGGCAGCCAGTGGACCGAAACTTGCTTTTTTTGGCTTCCAGGCCATCAGGGTCCTTTCTGGCTGGTGCTGAGTCCCGGAGGAGCAGCGGAGCGGGCAGGGGTGCCCCCGGGGGCCCGGCTGCTAGAAGTGAATGGGGTCAGCGTGGAGAACTTCACTTACAGCCAACTCAGCAGAAAGGTATGGCTGTAAGTTTCCCTGTTCATCCTCCTCACCCACCGGGGGGGGGGGGGGGCCCGGGGCTTTGCCTCAGGCAGCCGATTCCTCCCCCACGCACCTCATCTCCAAAGTTGACCTTGTACCTCCGGCCATCCTGCCCTTTACAGTTGGTCCTAGGCTCTGCTCTCCCCCACCCGTGCTGCCTCCTTTCTGGGGCCATGAGGAGGGCCTGCCCCTGCCTTCCCTACCCAGGTGCTTGATGCTGATGCCCCGCTGGGTCCCCACAGCTTTGGCAGAGTGGAGAGCAAGTGACCCTGCTGGTAGCAGGGCCAGAGGTGGAGGAACAGTGTCGCCAGCTGGGAATGCCCCTGGCTGCGCCCCTGGCAGAGGGCTGGGCGCTGCCCACCAGGCCCCGCTGTCTGCACCTAAAGAAAGGGCCCCAGGGCTTTGGGTTCCTGCTTCGTGAGGAGAAAGGTCTTGATGGTCGCCCTGGTGAGTGGGAGCCCCAGAGATGGGTCGGGAAGGTGCGGGCACACGTGCCGTGCACAGAAGACCCCAGCCCTGAGCCTCCTCCTCTTCCTCCGGCGTCCCCCCACGCTCAGTCCCTCTGCGTGCCCACGGTGGCCTGGGCTGATGCTGGAGTTAGTTGCAGGAGGAGCGATGAGGATATTTATGTCCCAGGACAGTTCCTGTGGGAGGTGGACCCAGGACTACCAGCTGAGAAAGCCGGGATGCAGGCCGGGGACCGGCTGGTGGCTGTGGCTGAGGAAAGTGTGGAGGGGCTGGGCCATGAGGAGACGGTGTCCAGGATCCGGGCGCAGGGCTCCTGTGTCTCCCTCACTGTTGTCGACCCTAAGGCTGACCGCTTCTTCAGCATGGTGCGAATGAGGGGCGGGGGGTGCTAGAGTGCGGGCATGGATGGAGCAGGGCTCAGGTGGAGGGAGAAGCTACAGGTCCGTTCTGTCCGCCTCCTTCCAGGTTCGCTTGTCTCCACTTCTCTTCTTGGATAGCACGGAGGCTCCTGCCTCTCCCCAGGAAACCTGCTCAGCCTCTCTGGTTGAAACCAAGGACCTACCAGATGATGGGACAGCCACGCCTCCTGCCCCGGGCGGCTCCCACCAGTGCTCCCTGTATCCTGGGCCTGGCGGTGCCTATGGTTTCCGACTTAGCTGTGTGGCCAGTGAGCCTCGCATCTTCATCTCCCAGGTGACTTATGCCCCACGGACCTTGGATCTTTCCAACCGTTCGCCTCCTGATGAGCCTTTGTCTGCTTCCCGCCCAAGGTCTTAGAACGTCCAGCAACTTTTCCATGGTATCCCATGTTCTGTCACCCCTCTCTTCGCCACCAGGTGACCCTAGGAGGCTCAGCGGCCCGGGCAGGGCTGCAAATGGGAGATGTGATTCTGGAGGTGAACGGGTATCCCATGGGTGGAGAGAATGACCTGGAAAAGCTTCAGCAGCTGGCCGAGGCTGAGCCACCCCTCCACCTGAAGCTGGCAGCGAGGTCTTGCCCGGGCTTGGAAGCCTGCAACCCCCCCAGGTTTGGAGAGGTGAGGAAGAAGAGACAGATGGACCATCAGCAGCCAGAGAAGGATAGGGGGAGTCAGCGAGGAGGGCTACAGGGTGAAGCAGTGTGGGGCATGCGGATTGGGACGCTAGGCCATGGTAGGTGGGGACAGAGGGACCCATGGAACTAGCTGCCATTCCTGGGCATTGCAGTGCAAGTGGGGGCTGGGAAAAGGAACTCTTACCGTCCTTGAATGACCTTCTCTCTTCTCAGGACTGGGCTCCAGCGTCAGAGCTGCTGTAGTCCTCTCCTACCTGCACAGATCTGCCCAGTGGCCTTCCTGTCTTCACTCTCCTGCTTGCAATGGTAGGAGCTGAGAAGCTCTCTTTAAGCCAGAAGGGACAGCTCTAGGATTCTGGACACCTCCAATCACAGGATTGCCCAGGGTCTCCCTCCCTTCCCTGGGGCCCGCCTCCCAGAAGAAGGTGTGGCCAGAGGCCTTAGGCAGGCCCACTAGGGGGCGGGGGGTAGGGGGGGTGGGGGTTGTCCTCTGGTTCCAGAGGGAGTCCTATGGGAGCTTTGGGAGTTGTGTTCCCATGGATGAGTGGTGTGATTTTGTGATTTATAATAAATTATACTCTTTCCCGGCACAGAGCTCCTAAAACCCTTGGAATTTCCTAAGTAGTGAGAGTGATAAAGATGTCTTCTTTTATTCATAACAAGCCCCTTTCAACCACACCTAACTTTGTTAAGGAAGTGACTTTTGGAAAGCACCTAAGGATGGGGGACTGGTAGCCAGGGGATCCAACCATGTGATTAGCGGGTTGGAACTTTCAGCCCCACGCCGGACCTCCTGGGAGGGGAGAAGTGCTGGAGGTTGAATCACTCACCAACGACCAATGGTGTCATTGGTCATGGCTCCATAGTGAAGCCTCCATGAAAAACCAAAAGGATGAAGTTCCGAGAGCTTCCCGGTTGCTCATTGCGCAGAGGTGCTGGGAGGGTGGTGCCCCCGAAGAGAGCATGGAGCTTCCGAGCTCGTGCCTTGCCCACGGCATACTTGCCACCTGGCTCCTTCTGAGTCGTGTCCTTCATAATAAACTGGTAAACTAGCGAGTAAACAGTCTCTCTGAGTTCCGTGAGTCACTCTAGCAAATGATGGAACCCGAGGAGGGGGTCGTGGGAACCTTTGTTTTTCAGCCAGTGGGTCAGAAGCCCAGGTGACAAGCTGGACTTGACACTGGCGCTTGAAGTGGGGACAGTCTTGTGGGACTGAGCCCGTGGCCTGTGGGATCGGATGCTCTCTTCACATCAGTAGTGCCAGAATTGAGTTAAATTGTAAGATCCCCAGCTGGTGTCCACAGAGCTGTTAGAGAATTGCTTGGTGGGGGAACCCGTCCACACACACACACACACACACACACACACACACACATACACACACACGTGACTGGAAGTGAAGTAGTACTGGGAGTGGTGTCATAAAATAGAGGAGGAACACGGCGTTTTCCCTTTATAGGTGGGCTGTGGGGCTGGCTAGGATTGTTCCAGATGGAACTTGCCCTAGGCATGACTCCTGGACTCTCACATATATTGCAAGAATTTGGAGACCAGTTACGCCTTCCCTCTGTAAGCACCTTAGGATTGTGGGGGCTGGTGCCTGGTCACTATTGGTCTATTATAGAAATGGCCTTGCCCCCCACACATCAGGCTGCCTCTGTTGGTGGGGGGAAGGGGGATAGGAGATGGTGATTTGAAGGGACCAGAAGGGCCCCAGACTCAAGGCATGGGGCCCAGTTTCTCTAAGAGAGGAGTTGAGAGTTTGTCAAATTTCTCTCCTCTCCTTCGGTCTTCAGGGTAATGGGTCAGTCCAGAACCAACGTGCCCCCAAAAGGAGACGCTCGTATCTGCCAAAAAGCCACAGACCACAGTTCTGTTGAGTTCTACATCAAGATAGCTTTATTGCTGGAGCCTCCAAGTGGCTTACAGCTTCAGAGATCCAGGGGGTTGAGCCCAAACTGGTGAGTCCTTGTACTTGGCGTGAAGTCTCAGCACAGCCCCGTCCCACTGAGGCTTGACAGCTCTCAGCTTGGCCAAGAGTCGGTCCAGGCTGCCCTGCAGACACCAAGGTTCAGGCCCCAGGAAGGGAGAGGGTAGAATGAGGGGTGCCCCAGGATGGTCTGTAAGCTTTCCTTGCCGGTGATGTCTTCAAGTTCTTACTCTTAGTAAGTAGGCACGGTTGTAGTCCCCTGGCTGTCTGCCCTCAAGACAGAGCAGAGTTCCCTGTGGGGATGCTGCTTCTCCTTCCCCCTGGTCTGTCATTAATGATAATGACAGCATGGACTAGTTGGGGTCTGGGGGATCGGGGAGTGCCAGGTACCGGGGTGGTTGGGCTTCCAACAGTGTGGCTTACATGTAAGATTTCCTCATACTTGGCCTCCATGTCTGCCATGTGGGCCCGAAGCTGAGCCAGAGTCTGGTCCCGCTCTCCGAGGGCCTGCTCAGCCTCTTGCCGTGCAGCCTCGGCCTCCCTCTGGCACGTCTCTGCAGGGCAAGGCGGAAGGATGAAGGGGACTGCATAGTGATGCTCTACCTGTAAACAGAGTCTCCAAAGGCACCTAAAAAGCAGAACTTGAATGGGATCATTCCAGACTCCCCCCCAGGATCATCAGTTTCCCCACAGCCCGTATAAGGAGCTGACGTATAGCGTTAAGGTATAGCAGAGAGAGCAGTGGACTTGGGACAGGGATGTGGTCCAAAGTCTGGTTGTCACTTACTCCCTGTGTAACCTCGGACATGCCTCTCTCTGAGACTCAGTTTCTTCATCTTTAAAGACAGACTGATACAAACCTTATAGGCTTACCGTGAGTTAAATGTGAGAATGTATGGGAAAATACCTAGTATTTACAGGAGGTGTTCCGTAAATGCTGATTGAGTTTAAATTTGAGATAAGGCAAGGATTAGGAAAGGAATTCAGGGTCTGCCTGGCAGATAAGCAATTCTTGGGTATCTGTAGCTAAACTGAGGCTATTTTAGGGACGCCTGGCTGACTTAGTTGGTAGAGCCTGAGACCCTTGATCTCAGGTTCATGAATTCGAGCCCCACGTTGGGTGTGGCACCTAGTAAAAAAAAAAAAGAAAGAAAGAAAGAAACTGAGGCTATTTTAGGTTAAGAAAACTTTGAGACTGGGCGCCTGGGTGGCTCAGTTGGTTGGGCAACTGCCTTTGGCTCGGGTCATGATCCCGGAGTCCTGGGATCGAGTCCCACATCGGACTCCCAGCTTGATGGGGAGCCTGCTTCTCCCTCTGACCCTCTCCCCTCTCATGCTGTTTCTCTCTCTCTCTCTCTCAAATAAATAAATAAAATCTTTAAAAAAAAAAAAAGAAAGAAAACTTTGAGACCACAATTGTGAAAGATCTTATGTCCCATGCTAAGATAGTTCAACTCTATTCCTTAACCAAGAGAGAAAGGAAAAACTTCCTGTTCTTTACATTTTTGCTTATCTGCAAGGGTCATTCCTTTATTTAGCATAATTATGTAGGACTTGGCATGCACTTGGCATTGAAGATACGAAAGTAAATAAGTCACATATCTTTCCTTAGTTTCATTGTAAAAATCAGCTAGGAGGGAATATATTTCGCTTGTGACAGACATGGCAGGGGTAGGGAGAAAGACCTGGATTTGGAGAAACCATCAAGAGAGGGAGATGGGGTGAGAGACTCAGGTCTGCTTTAGTTACAACGTAGAGATTTTTGCCATCTTGAACCCTCTGCTCCAATCCTCCATGGTGGGACAGTCAGTGGGGAAAATGGTCCAAGAGCCTAGACTGCAGTCTTCTAGAGAAGGACCATCTTCAGTCCACCCCTGCAGGCTGGACCTTGTCAGTGCACTGGAGAGAAAGGGCTTAGGGGGGTGGGGAAGCCTACCCAGCTGCTCCCGAAGGCCCGTCACTTCTTCCTCCAGCTTCCTGCTGTGGATCTCCATTTCCTTCTGCAGGGCCCGGCACTGACGACTCATCTCTGTGGTGGGGGCAGAGGGTGACCAGGGACCCGGGTGTGGATGGAGTAGTGGAGAAATGAAGGGAAGTCGTGGGTGGGGAAGGGCCTGCTTGGCCCAATGGGACAGGAGCATAGAGACCTTCCCAGTTCTCGAAATTCCGAGAAGCTGACAGAGCCTGAACACCTGGGGAAGAGCTGGGAAACCACACCCCTTCCCCCATTCCAGCTCAGGACCTGGATTCTAGCTCTTCTCCTCACTCATTCCCAAGGCACAAATGAGACAAAAGCCATGTAATTTTTTGTAATCCACATAGCTGGAGGTAATCCAAAAAGCACATGGCATCGGGCATCCTGGAAGGTTCCTGCCCGGGATCCAAGAGACCTTCCTTGGGTTCCTTTAGGCCCCTGCCTGATTCATGCTGAGCCAGGAAGGTTGGGGCTAGGCAGGGCAGATGGAAGTCCTCCTCGGTTCCCTTCCTTGCATCCTCTGGCCCTCTTGATTGTCCTCTTCCAGGCCCCTGTCTCCTGCCCACATGCCTGACCAACCACACACCTGCATAGATGGCCTTCCCCTCACTTCGGGCCTCCTCCAACTCAGCCTCCAGCACTTGCAGCCTCTGCCTCAGCTGCTCTTCAGAAGCTTTGGCCCGGCGGGCCTCATCCCTCCGAAGAGCTGTGAAAAGTCCCAGAGCAGTCCTCACACCTGGCTGGGGATCCCACTGAATCAGGCCCTGTGGGCTTGATAGACTCTGCCCACCTCTGGGAACCTGGTGGCAGATCCCCAGCCTCTCATTCTCTCTCTGGGTTGGCTGGTTGGTTGGATGGTTTTTCCCCCAGAATCCCATGAGCTCTTCATTGCTAGGAAGGAAAAGCTCCATGTTCTGCTTATAAAAAATAGCTATCCTCACCCACCCTCACTGCCCACCCCTTCCCTTTCTCCACCAGGGGATGGAGGACAGGTCAGCTCAGCCTCCTGCCACAGCTCCAACTGTCCAAGCCTCCAGGATGCAAAATGCCGCATTGCCCCACCTCCGTTGTCCCAGAGCTTCCACCCTTCTTACCCAAGTGGTCTTGGAGCAGCTCCTTCTCCAGCACTGTCCGCCTGTGCGCGGACTTGGCCTCCACATCTGCCCTGGCAAGTTGACAAAGCCTCAGCTTGTCATGATCTCAGCCTTCCTCACGTCTCCCCATCCTCAGCCCACACCCTGGACTTTCTTCCTGCAGTTCTGAGGGCCTCTAAATGAGGGATCTCTGATGGCAATCTACTGAGTTCACCCCTGCGTCCCGGCTGCCCAGCACAGAGTAGGTGCACGGAATATGGGTGATGAATATATTAAGGAAGGCACAGAGCCAGAAGGGCATCACGGAGTGGGTGCATGCGGATTTCCCCAATTTCCCAGCTCCATGGGACCTGGAGGAGGGGGGTGAGTCATGAAAGCTCCATCTTGTCATGCAGAGGGCTGCATTCTCTCTGGAGCAACTCTACTTGGTCTCCAGGCCAGAGCGTGGAGAAGCAGGAGGCACTCACCTCCAGCCGCCCTGACTCACCAGCACCCGCATTCTGTTTCTTCTTCTGTGCCCCAGTTTTCTTCCCTTTTTCTTTGGTCTTGGGTGGCATCTCCTTGCTGTCCTGGGGAGAGAGAGGACTCACATTTATGCCCTGGGCACAGGGCTCCTTTCCTGACCCCTAGATTGAACCAGGAGTCCCAGGAGAGTTAGAGTTCTAGTCTCCAAGTCTGTCTCTTCTACTTTCCAGAAGCTTCCATTCTTGGTCTCCTTGGAACCTTAGGCAAGGCTGGGATGTGGGGAGGGTGGAGCTGTTTCTTTCTACCAGTCACGTTCTATGGGCAGAAATCATTCCTCTCAATCCTCTTTTGGAGAAAATATATCTCAGTACTTGTCCCTTCCCTCTTCCCATCATCCTTACCCTGCCTCTTCCTACCTGCGGGATCCTCTCTGGCCTCTGTTGTGTCTCCCTGTGGGGAGGACCCACTGATGGGGAGGGGCAGAGAAAAGGCCCAACCAGCTGGGAGCCCGAGGAGGAGCCTGGGTTCTGGGAGCCAATCCAGGGTGACAAATTTCCTTCGAGGGCAGAACTGGGAACTGCACGGTTGGGTTTCTGGAGACCGAATGTTGCCCAGGTAACTGGGAAACATGGAGCTCACAGACAGGTGGAATGTGCCAAGTACAAAGCTTAAAATAGCAAGGTCCTGGAGGGTCGCTTCTCTCCTTATCCCTAAATCCTAAATGTAGTTTGAGGAGAAAGGGCTTCAGAGCCGGTTAGTTATGCTTCATTTCCATGTAGCAGTGCCTGAAGTTTGGAGACTTACAAATTACAGATTTACACATCTGATACGATGCTGTGGTGCTGATACAGAGGAAAAGCGCTGACAGGAGCCATTTTAGGCGATTTACATCCCTAGGGCTCGTGAGCGAGCACATGACATTATTAGGCTTTGGGAAGGCATTCTATCGTGTATGAGGGAAAGAAGTGCAGGAGAAGGTAGCCGAGAGAGTTTCTCACTTCAGAGAAAGGAGACACAGAGGAGAGGTAGACCCAAGCACTCCAGGGTGCTGACATAGAGGGAGGCAAATGTAGAAGAAAGGATATTGGCTAGAGACAAGAGCCCTGAGTTCTAATACCCCCTCCGGTTATGCAACCTTGGGCAAGGCATTTAATTTTGTGCAACCTCAGTTTCCTGGTCTTTAAGTCTTTGACTCTGTAAATCCTGAAAGGCCTGGATTTTCACTGGGTATTCACAGGGCTATCTTCCCTTGTGGGGACTTAATTTATTGCCTCTCTTCCCCTATTCCCTAATGTGGCTGATTTTCAGCCTGGTGCCGAGAAACTACTTTGCTAGGCTCCCCTCAGTATTGAGTTGGTCGGAGCTCCCTCTAGTGGACTTGCTTGACCTCGGGGGTCTCCTTAATTTTTCTACTTAAATTCTTGGGCCTTGTCTGGGGGGCGCCTCCCTCTCGGGGATACTTCCTACCATCTTGAGGGGGTCATGAGTGGTTGGAAAAACAAATTTGGGGAAGGGAGTATGATGGGTGGACTTGTTCTTGTCCCCACCCTTCTTCCAGCCCTGTGCCATTCTGGAGACTTGTCATCGGTCTGCCACCTGGATCTCTGGGCACCATACTGGCTAGAATGAAAACAGCAAAAATGTCAGGGATTTTCCTCTTGTGGATCAAGGAACCTGCAGACTCTTTAGATGTTTCTCTCTATCTCTGTCCCCCTCAACACTTTTGGCCAATTGCCTGTCATCAGGAGCAGATCTGAAGAAATAGCTTTGAGATCTGGGATTTAAAAATCCTTCCTCTGGGGAGTGGACAGATTCAGGTGGGGGCTGATTCATGTTTATTTGTCATCTTCGTGGCTGCAGGGTACTTCTCTGACCCTTCAGACATTTTACAGAGTAAAGAGAAGAACCAGGCTTGCCTTTTCCGGGGCTTATAGTTCCTGTACCCCAGGGTCAGATAACTTTGTGCACAACTCCCAAATCTGGAGAATACTTTTCTTCTCATGTTGAAGTTTGCTTTTCCTTCATTCTCCCTCCAGAACTCTTTGCCCCTGCATAGGAATGCAGTAGACATTCCTGCCGCAGTCCTTCTCCTCATCTAGAAGCCTGTTTGGGGTCATTTTCCAGGGAATGATTAGTTTCTGCGTTACGCTGATGCATGGGATGACATTTTGAGGACATGGCTTACTGAATACAAACAACATATCATGCCTCAGAAAAGCATTTACTTTTCAAATATGTTCAGTCAACCGACTTTCAGGTGCAGAATGAGGATGTGGTTTGGGTGAAGGTGAAATGGAATAAGAAAAGTGCCCCGTATCACATGATGTGATGATACAAACTGAGCCAGCTCTAGAGCAAGCCAAGAATGCGAATGACATTTTGATCAACAATCCAGTCCCATCTTTAGCATACGTTGAAAACAAGCCAAGTAAAAATTGTGTGTGTGTGGGGGGGAGTCAATCTTTCCTTCTTTTTTCATTAACTTCAGTTTAGAAATGAAAATAGGAAAGATCATCTCAGCAGAACTCTGTCTTCCTTTGAATAGGATCCCATCTGGGAGTTTTGAAGAGATATAGAGGAGAGAACTGTCACTCTCTCTGCTTTATTCGAATGTGAGAGATAGGTCATTTGTATATTTAAAGAAATATGGCTTTTTCTCTTTTACAGGGCGCCTGAGCGGCACAGTCAGTTAAGCAACTAACTCTGGATTTTGGCTCAGGTCCTGACCTCAGGGTAGTGAGATAGAGCCCCACCCTTGGGCTCCGCACTCCGAGCGGAGTCGTAGCCGCCTGAGATTTTCTGCCTGCCCCGCCCCCCCCCGCCCCGTTTGCGTGTGTCCCGCGCGCGCATGCGCATGCTCTCTGTCTCGCTAATAAATCAATCTTAAAAAAAATTACGGCTTCTTTTTTTTTTTTTCATTTTAGAGAGGGGGGAGGAGCAGAGAGAGAGAATCTTAAGCAGGCTCCACACCCAGTGCAAGCCCAATGCAGGGCTCGACCTCATGACCCTGAGATCATGACCTGACCTGAAATCAAGAGTCAGAGGCTCCCAGGAGCCCCAAGAAATATGGCTTCTGCAAGCAGAAACAAAGTACAAATTATACCATTACATTCTATCCAGGTGGTACTGAAGATAATACAAATTGGAAGCCTTTACAGGAAGCCAGAGATGCGTACATGACCCAGACGAACCCATATAGGCCCAAGCAAGGGTTAATTTCTTGCCTGTATTCCATTAAATCTGGGTTTGATGATGAGGGGGAAAAATACCCTGTGTACTTACACTATGTTACGTACTGTGGAAGACCAAAGTCGAGACAGCATAGCACAAATTAATGTGAGGTAGCTGTGAGAATAAATGATTATGGAAATTTAGAGGAGGAAAGGATTATTTCTAGCTGGAATGTCTGGTAAGAAAGAAAATATTTGAATTGAGTTCTGAAGAATGGACTGGACTTCAGTAGCACGCTTTAGGCAGAGGGAACGCTCTCAGCAATGGTGATGAAAAAAAGAAAGAGTTGTGGTATTTTGTGACTTGGGAGTCACCCAGCATAGGATATACGTATTGGAACAATATAAAACTGCAAGGTAGTTTGGAGTTAGATCATGACTGTTAACTTTATCCAGGAGACAATCAGCAGTGTTTGAAGTTTTTTTCTGATGCGATCAGAGCTATACTTCAGGAAGACTGGTCTAGTGGCAGAGTGGATTGGAGGTGGCAGGGAAACCAGTGAGGAAAAGGTTTCAATAGATAGATCAGGGGAGAGAAAGGGAGGGCCTGCAACCAGGGTGGTAGATGGGAAGTTTTGACAATTATCTAAGAGGCTTGCCTAGGTTTTCCCTTGGGAGATGTCTTCTCTTTCTAGGTAGGAACTGATTAAAGGAAATTCTATTGATAGGAAATGATAATGTTGACTCCATAATCAATCTTAGGTAAAGGCCATGCTCAAGGATGTCTGGCTGATGGGTCCTTGAGTTCAGATTTTTTTTTTTTCTCTTGTGACAGGAGCCCGCGATGAACTTAACTCCTTTATCAGTCAAGGGCTTTGTGGAAGACCCAGGTGGGGGATCTAAGACGGAACCGAGTACTTACAGGCACACTAGAGCCTGCAAGCTCCCAAAGAGGAGGCTCAGAATTAGCAAATAAGGGCAGGGCACTTCCTTCTTTAGGAAGAAAGTTCCCTTTTTTCAAAGTTTTTCCAGCAGAACTTTTCGATTAGAGAAGTGGAAATGACTGGCAACTGCATTTCTCTTCCATGAGAGGAGCGAGTACTCCTCCGGCCAGAGCTCACAGCTGTCTCACAGCTTCTGTGGTCAAGGCCTGGTGCTGGCGGTGCTGACCTGCGGCGCAATGCGTGGAGCCCAATGCGCTGAGCTGCGGAATCTTAAGTACATACTCAATTCCCAGAAAAAGGAACTAGTGTTCAGAAGTCAAAAAAGGGGGAAGTGTTTTGTTTTCATAAGGTCAAAGGGCCTGGAAGAAGAGCTTGCGGCCTGAGTGTCTCAAGCCTTTCTGGGCTGTAATCAGGATTGAACAATCCGCAGCAGTCACATTCCTGTTCTTGGCGCCTACTTAATGAGTTCAAAACACCAAGGGGTGGGGAAAGAACTTCCGTTTTTCTCCCACAATGTGAAGAAGCAAATGGCTTTAAGCTCAATTTCCTCATCTGTCAAGTATGGGGGAAAGACTTGACGTTGAGGTTCTTTCCACGGCTACTTGTCTTCACTTAAATATCCCAGTAACCTACTCAAAGAACGCCAACCTTACAGCCCACAAGGAACATGGAGGGCTCGGCTTCTGTCTCGTGCGCAGACTCCATGCCAGGCCCCGCCCCCTCCCTTTCCCGGCTTCTCCAGCAGAGGGCGCAGACGCAAAAGTTCCGCCTGGGCCCGCCCCCGGGGGCAGGGGAGGGGTAGGCGGCGCGGAAACTTGGCCGCGGCTTTCCGGGAGCTGTGGCTCGGGAGGGGGTGGCGCAGGAGCGGTCGCTACCCAGTCCGGACCAGGCCGCTGGCTTCCCCGAGCTCCGCGCGCTCCTCCAGCCCCCGGGCTCGCGCGCTCGGAAGGGGCGCGCCCGCGCGGACCCGCGCTCCCG